CGTTTGTAAGCCTGTTCGTGTAGGAGGTTAGATCCATGTTAATCGAAGAGGGTGAAGTATCCACGAATTCTCCTGGAAGTCGAACGGTCGTACCATAAACGAGTTGAGACGCAGTTTATCTAGTGTCAGCTTTCACTGCATTGCGAATAGTAAGACGAGTGGAAGAGCGCTAGTCCACTGGGAAATGTTGGTGGCTGATAGTGACGCTTTTAGTTGCCGGTGAAAGCGTTCTACTAACCCGTTTGTTTGTGGGTAGTAGGCCGTCGTTCGGAAGCGAGTGGTTCCTAATATTACGGTCAGACAACGGAAAAGTATAGATTCGAACTGGCGTCCACGATCTGTAGTGATTGTTGTTGGGCAGCCGAAGTTTGCTACCCATCGTTCGACGAAGGCGCGGGCCACTGTTTCAGCAGTAATGTCCTTGATAGGCACTGCTTATGACTATCGAGTAAAACGGTCTACACAGGTTAAAAGATAAGAATATCCATTTGAATCTGGTAAAGATCCTACCAGATTTCAATGAACGTGGTCGAAGCGAGCATCGGGAGTTTTAAACGAGCCTAGGGGACATTTAATGTGTCTAATAACCTTAGATTTCTGGCAGCTTACACAGAAGCGTGCCCACTCCCTCACGTCTTTATTCATACCAGGCCAGCAAAACCGTTCTGCTATAAGCTTGATGGTTGCACGAACACCTGGATGAGAAAGTTTGTGCAACGTATTGAAGACGTTGCGTCGATAATGTTTCGGCACGATTGGGCGATCCCTACCTGTAGATGAGTCACAAAGTAAGGTTTCCTTACCTGTCCCTATCTGTTTAATGCGCAGTTTAAAGATTGTTGACGATAACTCGTGCTGAAGATCAGTGTCTTCTTTTTGAAGCTGGGTGAGTTTTAAGAGGTTGATTCCTTGGAAACTGTTCAAGGAAGTTATTCGAGACAAGGCGTTTGCAACTACATTGTTTGCTCCAGAAATGTGTCGAATATCTGAAGTAAACTGCGAAATGTAGTCCAGTCGTCGAGACTCACGTGGTGAGTACTTGTCTGAAGATGAGCTTAAAGAGAAAGTAAGAGGTTTATGGCCAGTAAAAAGGGTGAATTCTCGGCCTTTGATATGGCGTTGAAAATGCCGTACAGCGCAATACATAGCTAGGAGTTTTCTACCGAATGTGCTGTACCTCGATTCAGTGTCTAGCAACCGTCTAGAGAAAAATGCCAAAGGTTGCCAGGAGTGGTTAACCTGTAGTGGCATTGGGCAACCATACAATTATCTGGATTCATTCCATTGTTCTGATCCGAGCGAGTGACAAAAACGTCAGCGGCACCAAGCATCCCGGAGTTAACTGCCATACTGCGTGTTTTATTTTGGATGCTTGTTGATCAATACTACTCACGAATGGCGTTACATATGTCGTCTACTGAATAATCTAATTTTCAAAAATAATCCAGGCGAGTTTAACTATTATACCGGATGTTTCTTTTGTACTGAACATTATATATTTTCCAGTTGCTTTTGCTAAATATTTGTAAGTACCACTATACTAAATACAGGAACCTCTTATGGGAAGTTTATAACGCATCGTAATCCTACCTGAAGTTTCATAGGCAGTCTTAACTTTAAAATTATTTTTCTGGCAATGTTCGTCATATACATCAATAACCTGCATGTTAAACTACCCCGTAAATGCGTTGCATTATATCTACATGCCTTTTGAATTTGAAAGTCATTTGAATCGCCTTTAGCATTTCTCACCAAACCCATCATAGTCATTCTTGCTATACGTATTTGGGTTTGTAAATCGGTCTACCATATTAGTAACATAAAAAGACAAACATAGTTTAGATAATAAAGTTACAAATTTAAGTACTAGCATACTGCCTTAGTATGATAGCTAAACTATCAGGTAGTTGTTGGCAAACAAACATTTAAAATCAAAACTCCGGAACCTATTACTAAAACTAACACTAGATGTATATTCTTGAATTAAAATTTGCAATATAATTAGGCGGCTCGGTTTCTTCAACGCTACAAATTTCTGATAATTTGAAATCATTTAAAGCAACAATACCTATTTTTCCACCGGCTAATCCTCAATCAACACTATAATTAGTTAGACATAATGGTTTCAGGATATCGTCATAAAGCATTGTCATGACTTGACAATCACGTAATATGATTGATAAAATTGACGAAACTATTGACAAATCGGTCAGCAAATTGACTTATAATTATCATTAAGTAGTGTTGTTTTTCTTTTCTTCACTACGGATGACTACAGTATGTTTATCAGTTGCTCATTCAGTAAATATCTCAAAACCTTGTCAGTCTAATTGGAGGTTTAGCGACACAATCATGCATGCAAATCATCAGTATAAGCAGTCGAGCAAACCTCCTGCAAACTGAAAACATAAATGTCGAATTTACCCCAACATTGACTAAAATGCAAGCCATTATCATAGACATGAGTTGGGAGTGTACGTACTCCCCTTGGTTACTACTTATGTTCTCCCTGGTAATCGCATGAGCATCACTCACTGTTAATCATCTTGTAAAAACTTATTTAGACGAATCCATCTTGCAGCACCACATCACCTAAAAATGTGGCACATAGGCTTAATTGATTCCAGTAACTTATAATCACTATATCTCAATGAAATGGCATTCCGTCTTATACTAAACTGACACTTGCAACTAACTTGTATGTACCATCAGCCGATAGGTATGAATATAAATAAATAGTCTATGGCAAATCAGAACATTTAGTCTAGAGCATATCTCTAACGGGTACACTCATGTTTAACGAATCGCTCTTAGCTGTATGTCCAAAATCCACATAATTATTACTTTTCACGTATTTAAAAATTTTTGACAACAATTCATATGTATTAGTTGTATTACTAAATTCTATCACGGTCAAGTAAAAATGAGGTCGAGAAAATATCCCCATAACTAAATAAACCATATCAAACTAACCGGAACACTAGTTGGAATTCTTCTCCGCGCTTATACTTTAGTACTTTCAGTTAGCCTACTAATACAGATGCGATTGAAAATCATCTCATGGACAAATTTCTGATCGAAACGTTATTTTATTTCATAATTTGAACTAAATATAATACCAGTTTTAAATTTTCTACAATACTGATTGTTTTTTATATTTCTAAACAGGAAATGTTATGAACTTACGGCTATTACTAACTATCTTACGGCGACTTATTAAAATATCCCTAGACGGAGTCATTTCATTTTAATTATAATGCCGCTTTGTTTAGCTCAAATAATCTCCGCTCAAATTTTCATTTTAAGCGTTTTAAGCATTAAACCAGACACTTTAGAATTATTACGTGTTTCCCGACCAGATGCTGCCGTCTTCTTTTTGATTTATCTTTCAGTTCATCAATATTCGGATGATTCTTATTATTCTTGATAACCTCCGTCGCGCGACAATCTCGCAAAACTTGCTATCGAACCAACGTCACGTTGATTCTGGTGGGAGAGTAGTGTAGTGGCATCGGATCATAACCACACAATCCTCAAAGCTGAACACGAGACTACTCAGAAAATAGATATTCAATATTTAACGCGGAGGAATACCCAACAATGGAGAAGGCGGGAATAAGGAATGGAATTAATCGGAGTTAATCTTAGGGCATGGCTCGACCATGCAGACGTGGTCCCTCCTGCTAAATGTTACGTTATGGCTTTTATTCATATTAAATATATTGTTCCATCTCTAGCCTAAGATTGTTCTATATCATGTATTGGTAATTGTAACGACGCAGTGAGTTGGTGTAGATGATGATGTGACTTCCACGTAAGATCTTATAGATTAGGTAGTTACATCATAACAAATCTACAATTTAAGGATTAGGTCTATTATTAGAGCAGTGCTAATATCATAGTATACCATAATTATACAGTCTTTTACAGCTTCTCTCACAGTTTTAAGGAATGAACTATTTATTCATGAAACGACCTCAGATGGTCTATCAAGTATACAGCACGAGATACACAAGTACTATTCATGCTGCGGCTTACGAACTTACGAGGGCTCAATCTGGAGGCGAGATCGTGGAGGCCCTGAAGAAGTTGGATACCTAAAGTATAACCCCGTCGCGTACAAATTCAGATCTATCATAACGAAACAGTTTTAATTATATATCTATATATTCTCTAATACATAAGGCTAAAGATAATATCTTTTCAATTCATTGAATTTTGGGTCTTAGAAATTGATATATTGGAGAAATTCTTAGCCTGTAAAGAGATAATGTCCACATGGAATGATAGTAGCTGTAGGTGTAGTTCTCAGAACTCGGAGACTTGGAAGATTTTAAGACTGCCGCCTTCTAAATAAAGACTGATTTCATTTTTGGTATGCCAGGTGTATGGTTGTGTGGCACTTTAACGTCAATGTACCCAGAACAGACTTTACTGAGTCAGTTTGATATGCCTTCAGATCTGGCTCAATCTTGATCAAAGAACATTCATGTGTTTTCATGCACTCACAACTATATCTTTCCGTCTCATTGTATAGTTCCTCTTCTAATGTATGGAAACGAGCCTTTCAGATAATTTTTGATGTCATGTTCAAACTGTCTTTCCTAATTGTTGAGAATTCCTATGATGATCGTTCTAATCATATTCTCAACTTTGAGATACTCAGAATTAAACAGATGATAAACTCTAATTGGCGTCTGATGAAGTTAGCTTTGGGTTTGATCTGAAAGGGACAAAATGGTCCAAATGTTTCGCTACTAGAGTCTTTTTAAACTACCTAAAAAGCTGACCTTGCGATTATTAGAAATTGTGATACCCACTGAAGGTCATTGTGTGCAGTGCCCACGATTAACGCTCGTGCTGGTGGGCCTGTGGGTTATGCTATGAGACTCTGTTTTGGAAATATCTTGCGTTTGTGTGGCTAATCTTCCCTAAGTTTAAAACACTCTATTTGGAACTATCAGATACTTATTTCTCCCCACCATCCGTTGGATGGGCTAATGTTCGATGAGACTGCTGTGCATGTTATTGGAGGAGGGTGAGTCTGAATAAATACACCATCTTTCTGATGGGTTCGTATGAATAAAGTTAATGACATGTTTTTTTGCAAATGTCATGGTAAATGATTTACCTCATAATTTCTTATAGCATCGGAGGGACAGTTGGAGCAGTTTTAACTTGTCCGTTAGAAGTTGTCAAAGTTCGCCTACAATCTTCAAAGGGAATTGTACTTTCTTCGTCTTCATTCAAGCCTAACCTCGTCCCAAATTATAATCACATCCACCGTTTTTCGCGCATACGATGCATGTTCTATGGTTTAAAACAAGCTGATCCTAAATATGTTCAAAAATCCAGTCCCAGTCACAAGTCAGTGATTTCTTCGTGTATTAGTTCGTCAAACCCCTCAGTTCTCAACATTCCGACTACATCTTCCGACTTCTCAAACGTCAAGCCTCATGGACTTCGGCGATCTCTTATTCTTCGTTCGTTAATTGACATTTTTCGTTATGAAGGACCCACAGCTCTCTTTAAAGGTCTCGTTCCTACTCTTGTTGGGGTGATGCCAACACGGTAAGTGTTTTGTTTCAGTGATCTCTAAATAGTTATCAGTTTAAAACAATTGATCCTTTTTATAAATTTTTATCATTGCTCTATCGAAAGTTATCAGTTCGTTATATCTACTTAGAAATTGACTTTGTTTTTGAGAATTTACTCATGATCAATAGAAGTTCTTTATTAATTATTCCCTAGTATATCCACTAGTTGATGAATTTATCTAATATTACAGAAACTTCAGTCATTTATACGTACAAGTATCTATGGATGAAAGGCACATAACATACTGTTGATAAGGTAGTATCGGTATAGGTCTTAAAAATATTTATGTTAAGCTGAATGGATTTACTTTAGAGACTTGTTTGGCGTAATTCTTTTCACAGCAAGACTTACCGTAAGATACAAAAATGTAAATACAAATTATTTATAGTTAGGAGCTAAGTGTTCTTTGTGAATTATTTTAGTATTCTTGGGTAGTAGTTAGAAGCCGTTGATGTGAATGCTATTTTCCCTTGATAATGCAGTTCTAAAATATGGTTTATTCATACACAATGCTAAACTATACTCGGGTCTGGCCGTACTTTGATTAATCTCATTAAATGTATCTATGTAAACATGAAATTTTATCTTGTAGACTATTTGTTGCACATACTATGGACTAAACTTTACTAACATCGTTAAGATATACGTCTACATTATTTCAAGACTCGGTGGAGTTTCAAACTGCATACGAATATGAAGCTTATTATCAGGATCCATACTTCTTGTATCGTAGTACTTACTGGGAGTGCATATGACACTATGTATATTTATTTATTTATTTATTTGAACACATAAATATTGGTACAGGGGGGCACCAAATATATATGCGCCACACAAAACAATGATAATTGAAGAGGAGAAAAGAGAAAAAAAAGAAGAAAAAAAAAGTAATGGACGTGGGGAATTATAAAAAAAAAAGGAAGAGAGAGAGAACAATGGTGGGGGAAACGGAAAGGTACAATCAAAAGAGATCTTTCAGTTAGGAAGATACAACCACTTTTTATGAAGAAAGTAAAAGAAGGTTACAGCAGGATCGCCACTGGCTTCTATTCTGAGCCATATCCAATAACGTCTCTAGCCACTGCGTTACACCGTCTCTCGGACCCCAACCAGGGAGTCGTGAAGGACCAACAGAAGCTAGCCCTTTGCAGCTTTCTTTCATACCACGACACCATGTCATACACCGGCCACCTCTCCACGTTTTCCAACCAGTCCCAGAGTCGGCAAATAATGCACGACGAGGAATTTTCTGGGATGACATTCGTAGAACGTGTCCAAGCCACCGAAGTCGGTGTTTCAAGATGGTGACACCAATTGCATTATCGTCTCCGTGCCCGAACACACGATGCCGAACCTCTGCATTACTGACATGGTGTTGCCACTGGATGCCAGCAATCCTTCGGAGACAGCGATGATCGAACACAGAGAGTCGTCTAACATACTCAACTCGGAGAGGCCAGGTTTCACAAGCATAGAGCAAAACTGCTCTCACCGACGCGTTGTAGATCCGACCTTTTACAGCCAGACTAACATCACGAAGGCGCCAAAGATGGCCCAGATTGGCATAAGCTGCTCTGACTTTCACTATACGTGCATTGATCTCATCACTCACGCCACCACCAGCACTTATGCAGCTACCTAGATACACGAACTTCTATCTGCTCACCACTCAGGGTGAGTACAGGATTAGGATCCTGCCAGTCTTGTAGAAGTACTTTGCACTTCGAAGGTGCAAAGCACACACCATACCTACGGACACTGATTGCCGAATGATGAAGTGCGGATTGCATGGCTTGGGCATTCTCGCACAGTAAGACAATATCATCCGCATACTCAAGGTCGAGAAGTCTCTCTCCAGGCAACAGATCCACACCACCATTACTTACATCCGTCAGAGCTGTTTCCAGAATGTCATCGATGGCAAAGTTGAAGAGGAATGGTGAGATTGAGCAACCCTGCCTAACCCCACTGCTCGAATGGAATAGTGGAGAAAGGTGGTTGTATGCCCTCACTCTGCCTGAGGTGTTTGTGTATAAAGCTTTTAGGATGTTAATAAACTTCTCAGGCACACCCTTCTTCAATAGAAAATCCCAGAGAACAGTTCTGTCCAACGAATCGAAGGCGGCCGTGATATCAAGAAACACTACGATTGTTGGCCTTTGATAAGTATGGCGGTGTTCTAACACTTGGCGGAGGGTGAAGATATGATCAATACATCCTCGACCAGAACGAAACCCAGCCTGCTCCTCGCGAGTCAATCTTTCTCGGGTTCTGAACAACCTACGAAGTATGACGGAAGCCAATAGCTTGGACGCAATCGGAAGTAGACTTATCCCCCGATAGTTGTTACACTATGTATAGTTTAATTCGGATCCCATTAGGTGCTGCCTCTCAACGTTAATCTTCACAAGTTACTTACTAAGGAAATCGGTTGTTAAAGACGTCGATTTTCTGTTCAGTGGTTGTTAGTTGTCACCCTAAGTTGCCAAATGCCAGGCTCAACTCAATCTTTGGTGACACTGGTTCAAACCTCAAACAAAAAAATGTATTCACTCTTAATAATAATAATGACAATAATAATAATAATAATCGCTCCTAGTATATTACAGTCGACCAGTATTAAGGTAACAACAATAAAAGCTTTTGATGTACTCCAACTGCTTAACGGTTTGTATTTATTCTTCCGACAAGCTATGACATAAGAATTAAACTATGACTACAGTCTTCATAATTTTAAAATGACTGATGCAGTTAATGTTATATTTTTAGAGGCATATACTTTTGTGCATATCATAATGGACAGTTATTCTTTGAAAAATATTTCCAGCCTGGTTCTTCATTTGTTTATTTATGTGCTGCTGGGATTGCAAGTAAGTGTTTTTGATGCCGTTTCCTTTTATTTTATTTATTTGAACACAAATATTAGTACAAAAGGGCACGGAATACATATGCGCCACATAAGTCACTTGATTTGTGTGTGGACTGTGATACTGCCCGGGTACCCAGACCAAAGCAAGTGACTTTCCTAGGTGACCACATCCGGAGCCTCTCACCTAGAGATCTAATCTATTTATTTTTTATTTATTTGAACACATAAATATTGGTACAAGGAGCACCAAATATACATGCGCCACACAAAAAAATGTGGAATTTTAAAAGAAAGGAAAAAAATAACGATCAGATTAGTGTAAGGTGGTATGATAGTGGTAATAGTGGGGGGAAACGAAAAGGTACAATCAGGAGAAATCTTTCCGTTAAGGAAGAAACAACCACTCTTTACGAAGAAAGTAAGAAAAGGTTACAGCAGGATCGCCACTGGCTTCTATTCTGAGCCATATCCAATAACGTCTCTAGCCACTGTGTTGCACCATCTCTCGGACCCCAGCCAGGGAGTCGTGAAGGACCAACACAAGCCAGCTCTTTGCAGCTTTCTTTCATACCACGACACCATGTCATACACCGGCCACCTCTCCACGTTTTCCAACCAGTCCCAGAGTCGGCAAATAATGCACGACGAGGAATTTTCTGGGATGACATTCGTAGAACGTGTCCAAGCCACCGAAGTCGGTGTTTCAAGATGGTGACACCAATTGCATTATCGTCTCCGTGCCCGAACACACGATGCCGAACCTCTGTATTACTAACATGGTGTTGCCACTGGATGTCAGCAATCCTTTGGAGACAGCGATGATCGAACACAGAGAGTCGTCTAACATACTCAACTCGGAGAGGCCAGGTTTCACAAGCATAGAGCAAAACTGCTCTCACCGACGCGTTGTAGATCCGACCTTTTACAGCCAGACTAACATCACGAAGGCGCCAAAGATGGCCCAGATTGGCATAAGCTGCTCTGACTTTCACTATACGTGCATTGATCTCATCACTCACGCCACCACCAGCACTTATGCAGCTACCTAGATACACGAACTTCTATCTGCTCACCACTCAGGGTGAGTACAGGATTAGGATCCTGCCAGTCTTGTAGAAGTACTTTGCACTTCGAAGGTGCAAAGCACACACCATACCTACGGACACTGATTGCCGAATGATGAAGTGCGGATTGCATGGCTTGGGCATTCTCGCACAGTAAGACAATATCATCCGCATACTCAAGGTCGAGAAGTCTCTCTCCAGGCAACAGATCCACACCACCATTACTTACATCCGTCAGAGCTGTTTCCAGAATGTCATCGATGGCAAAGTTGAAGAGGAATGGTGAGATTGAGCAACCCTGCCTAACTCCACTGCTCGAATGGAATAATGGAGAAAGGTGGTTGTATGCCCTCACTCTGCCTGAGGTGTTTGTGTATAGGGCCTTTAGGATGTTAATAAGCTTCTCAGGCACACCCTTCTTCAATAGGCAATCCCAGAGAATAGTTCTGTCTAACGAATCGAAGGCAACCATGATGTCAAGAACCACTACGATTGTTGGCCTTTGATAAGTATGGCGGTGTTCTAACACTTGGCGGAGGGTGAAGATATGATCAATACATCCTCGACCAGAACGAAACCCAGCCTGCTCCTCGCGAATCAATTTTTCTCGGGTTTTGAACAACCTACGAAGTATAACGAAAGCCAATAGCTTGGACGCAATCGGAAGTAGACTTATCCCCCGATAGTTGTTTCAGGAACGACGTGAACCCTTTTTAAAGATTGGAACAACTATCGACTCATTCCATGACGTTGGTACACTCTCTAGTTCCCAGACCTTTGTAAACAATGTCGTCAGTTCCTTAGTCAGAAAGTCACCACCATCTTTAAAAAGAGCCGGGGGTAAGTCGTCTGGGCCCGGTGATTTGTAACGCTTCAAGAGTTGGAGTTCCTCGCGGACTTCCGCCTCATTTGGTGGATCAGTCGTCACCGGTCATGGAGGGCAGGACAGTCTGACCGATGTTGCCGGAGCAGCAGGTCAGTTGAACCGCCCTTCGAAGAATTCTGCCCATCGTCCAAGACGTCAATGGATGTTGATGATTGGCGTTCCGTCATCCTTGCAGATTGTTTCGCTCACACCAGTCTTCTTGGTGATCGAAATTACAATTCAATGGAGCGACGTTCGGATATGAAGTCTAATGGTGACCGGTGACCAACAATAAGTTCATACGACATTTGTTCTCTTAGGATCCTGGAGCCCATGTGCACCATTGGTTTAGAATTAGGGATTTCCAACCCCTTAGGTGGATCCTCCACATCCACCAACCCGGGTAAAGCACTGGACATTCGCTTTTCGTTCTCTGAATTTCATAACACCCCCGCCACGAGAAGATAGTAAGTAAGACTTCCCTGAAAGTGACTGTATGCAAGTAGCCATGTGAGAGCATTTGGACGGGGAGAGTGGACTCTCCCCACTCTCGGCTGTACCAAGGGTATTTGTTAAATCGCAAAATTGTACGAAATAGCTTGGTTTTAACAACCCATCTGATCTTGTCGAAAATAGTTTCTTTTGAAGCAGGTAAATTGTTAATACAATCAGGTTTTAAGCAAGTGTGTAGCAGGTTTGAGCCTCACTCTCACCTATTTTGGTTTTGGTAGACAGCATCGCTAATCATCACTTAATTAGTCCAACTCAGAACTGCGTTCATTAACTCGTATATATATATATATATATATATATATATATATATATATATATATATATATGACTAGTTCGGTTGAATCACATTGGAAATCAATCAAATAACCAGTACCTCGTTTACGAGATGGGACTAATTTACCATCTAGACTCAAAAAGTTCGTCCAAACGAGGTGTTGAATTAAAGGTTAAAAATAAGAATCTAAGTTGCTCTACCTGGAGTCTCTCTAAGGTTACTGCCTGTCCCAAGCCCGGGTAAAGTAGGATGACTGGGTATGAGATTAGCAAGTTCATCTCATAGGAAAGGACCTTGCTAAAAAACACTAACTTTTGGAAGGAGTAGGAACTTTCACGTACTCGGATAGCCATCGTTGGTAAACATGGAGGATCTGAGGGAGATTCGAAGGCACAAATCGGAAAGGGCAGTATTCTTACATTTGAAGAACATCTGGAACTCAAAACAACTCAGCTAACATCCAAGTCAGAATTTTCAGTACAAACATCAAGACAGTTGCGTTGTAGGGAGCTGAAATTTTGAGGACTACTACAGCCATCCTCAAAATGTACAGGAATTTATAAGTAACTGTCTACACAAAATACTCCGAATCTGTTGGCCAGACAACAGCGAAAACTTGCTGTGGGAAAGAATAAACTAATTTCCAGTTGAAGAGGAAATCAGGAAAAGTCGCTAGAGAACACTTCGAACACTTCACTTCTATTTGAAGCTTGTGGTAATGATGTCGTTCAGAAGGATGATAAAAGTTCCACGACCAAACCATCTAGCTCAGAGAACAAAGTCAGTCAGTCAGTCAGCTGCAACGTAGGACCAGGCACGTATATGCATCGGTCTAAGTTGCCATACCGCATTAACACAACAAGATGAACACCGGATTCATAGAAGTAGTTAATTCAATGGTGGTAATATATAGAAGAAAGAGTGTGTATAAGGAGATAGTACAGGAAGATAGAATTAGTTGGTAGAAAGAAAGATTTGAAGTGATTTTAATCTCTTATTTAAAGGAAGACAGAGAGTGTATACACCGACGCCATTGTGATCGATTCTGAGCCATGTCACCAAGAGTCTCCAACCATTGGTTACGATAGTCACGCGGACCCCAACCAAGTAGTCTGTATCTACCAACATGACTCAGACTAGAAGTTAGTGACTTCAAGCACTGATGCCACGTTTTGGTTTGGCCGCCCCTAACTTTCTTCCAGTCATCCCTAACACCGGTTAGCATTGCGCGTCGTGGTAATCTGTGTTCAGGCATACGCAGCACGTGGCCTAACCATCTCAGTCGATGAAGGTTCATAACCTCATCACCTGATTTACCATCATTCCCTAATACCCTGCGTCTAACCTCACTATTACTTACCCGGTGATCCCAGCAGATACCCGCAATATTTCTAAGGCATCTGTGGTCAAATACTAGTAACTTACGAATATCTTCTACTCTTAAAGGCCACGTTTCGCAGCCGTATAGTAGAACGGAACGAACTGCCGCGCAGTATACTCGTCCCTTAATTGATAGACGGATATCTCGCCTTCGCCATAGATGACGTAAGTTGGCAAAGGCCAAACGAGCTTTTCGAATCCGTGCTGAGATTTCGTCAGACACCAACCCATTAGGGCTGATCAGACTTCCAAGATAAGTGAAGTTGTCGACGCGTTCGACTACTTCACCCCCTATCCTTAGTTCAGGTGTTGACGCAGACAAGTCCTGAAGCAACAACTTGCATTTGGAGGGAGAGAAGCGCATCCCAAACATTCTGGCATTGTTGCTCAGTGCTACCAAAAGACTCTGCATTTCATCAGCGTCTTCACCAAACAGGACTATGTCATCTGCGTATTCTAAGTCAATAAGTGGACCTCCTGGTAGGAGATCAATACCCGAGAATTCAGTCGATGAGAGCGGTATTTCCATCAGTAGATCTATGATGAAGTTAAATAAAAATGGAGAAAGTGGACAGCCTTGACGGACACCACTTGAGGTTGCGAGAACAGATGACAGTTCGCCATAAGCTCTCACTCGACTAGTAGTGTTCGAGTAAAGAGCTTTCACAAGGTTTATGTACTTCTGAGGTACGCCTTTCAATGACAGACACTGCCACAAAACTCCAACAAACATTCGAGGTGAATAGTACACACATTGTGGAAATCATCAAATGACGTCATGATGCAAGCTCCAACTTGGAATCTTGTAGGCTAAAGGGAAAAAGGAAGACTAATGAACACATTACGCCTGGGTTAGGGATCAAAAGAATGAATAGAACTTCACAATGACTGGAAAGGAGAGCTCAGGACAAAGTAAGTTGGAGGTTGCTGGTCGGTGGCCTGTGCTCCACAAGGGGTAACAGTTGTAAATAAGTAAGTTACCTTCATGAATAGTAATTACATTGTGAATAAATTTAGTATCCTTCAACTGAGACGTGATTAATCATATTGGCCTACTGACCTTACTGATGTCTCATAACTTGAAAGATTTAAATGAATTCCACTCTAAAATACAAAGTCCTCCCTACCATGTAATTTAGTTTTAAATTATGGAGTGTTTTTGGAAGCAGAAAAGATTGGTTAAAATTAGTCTCTCAGATGTTATACTTAGATACATTATTTGACATTGCTTAAAGTTAAACACGATGATACATATGCATTTATTTCTTTAGATGGTGGTTGGAGGTAGTTGACAAGAAACCCTGGACTCGGGTTTCGTGCTACTTGGCACTCGTCAGCAAGGTGTACCTGTAGTCTTTGAAGGAATTGGTGCTCCCCGGCGGATTCGATGCCGTGTCACTCAGCTTCACAGTCAGAGACGTTACCACTGAGCTATCCGGGCCGCGACCGACCGATCAATCAATTGTGATTGCATCTCAGTCCTACAGGAGGTCAGTTGCGGCCCGGATAGCTCAGTGGTAACGTCTCTGACTGTGAAGCTGAGTGACACGGTATCGAATCCGCCGGGAAGCACCAATTCCTTCAAAGATTACAGGTACACCTTGCTGACGAGTGCCAAGTAGCACGAAACCCGGGTCCAGGGTTTCTTGTCAACTACCTCCAACCACCATCTAGTCTCACAATAGCACCCGCAGTGTCGAGTCACCTAGAATGGTGGCCACATTGCAACATGGTCGATAGCATTCGATCTGCACTAATAATAAGGACTAGACACGCATGACATTGATCACCACCTAGTGACCAATCAGTTGTGATTCATTGCTTTCTCTGAAGAGATTTTGAAGTTGTACTATTCTCTACTCATTTTCTCGTTTTAATACATTTCCATATCTCCACACATTGTTGAGAGTTGTTTTCGTTTGTTATTACTCCAGTGATTTGTTTGTGATATTTATTGGAAATATCCTATCTGTATTCAATTACCGGTTGAATTCTCAAAATCCTTTATTTTGCTTACATATTTTCATTTTTACTCCCTTTTATCCAGTTTTCGTTAGTTATTTGTGATACTGCTTTATTTTACAGGCTAGTATAGCATTAATATCCTTTAGTTTCGATGACCAATTAATGCATTTTATACTGGCATTACTTTTACAGGCATAACAGCTTCTTCCTTAACCAATCCTATTTGGTTTGTAAAAACAAGGCTTCAATTAGATTCACGGCAAGTTGAAATTGTATATCTGTTGTTTAACATTGTTTATAGTAACAAACACCCTACTCATTTTCTTGTTTTAAGAAACACGAGTAGATGGAATCATTATTCATCGTAAATATGGATCAGCCATTCATTATGTATATTCATTTCAAAGGCGATAGGATGCTCAAATTTTCCACTGTTCCGCAATGTGTTGTAAACCAATCATATTATCTTTGCTACTTACACTTTACATTAAGGCATGTTAATATAGAATTTTAGTGGCCTTCGAATATCTGACTCGAGGTAGATCGTATGAATGATTGTCGTCAAAATATACATCCTGGCTATCCTCGTATATAATCATCGACTTAACTCGCGTTAGTGAATAACGGAATTAAATAAGTCAAATACGAAAATAGATTTCGAATACATATATTTCATACAATCATTGATCCAGATAAACTATCAGCGAAACGAAATGAAGAGAGCGAAGCGAAATGACGTGCGGTATAGAGGGCTTGTGAGCCAACTAAATTTAACCAAGCGTTAATCAATATTTATAGTCACACAAATATAAGTTACAGACATGCAGTGAATGTGATAAGAATGAAATACTCACACGCTTACGTAAAAACGGTCAGGATTGATAAGCGAATAATTAACAAGGTCAAGATGTGACTCAAGAAGGATGAATAAATTGGCTTGTCCAGAAGCTCAAATAAGCTATGTATTTTTATTATTTATTTTTATTTTAACACATAGATATCAGTACAAGAAGGCACCAAATACACATGCGCCACACAGATCTCATTTGATATGTGTGAGGGCTGTGATACTGCCCGGGTTTCCAAACCGAAGCAGGTGGTTTTCTTAGGGGACCACACCCCGAGCCTTTGACCTGAAGATCTGATCCACAAGGCAGTGGAGCATCGTGAGGAGATGCAGTCCCATGGTAGCCGGTGACCAACGATTGGTTCATACGCCATTTGTTCCCGCAGGATACTGGAGCCCATGTGCGCCATTGGTTTTGGGTCCGGTTATAGCGCCGGACATTCGCTTTTCGTCCTCTCATTTTCGTAAACAACACCCCCGCCACGAGAAGGCAGTGAGTAGAACTTCCCTGGCAGAGGCTATATACGCGTGGCCATGTGAGAGCATTTCGAGAGGAGGAGCGGACTCCCCCCACTCTCGGCCATACCAGGGCATTTGGGGGCAGAAATAAGCTATGTGGGCTTAACATAGCAACCAACACTATAGGTTTTTTCGTTTCAAGTCATTAAATTTGCTTAGTGAATTCACTTCTAATAGTGCCATTAATCTTTAAAAGTAATCTTTATGTCGTGGGTGAAAACCAGTTTAAAAATCAATCATAACTAATATTTACTGCTCAGTTATTCAGTCCCAGTTCAGAACTCTTCATGAGTATGCTTAATAGTTTAATGCTCAACATGGGGTCTAGAAATTCTGGATTCAATCTTGTGTAAAATCCATAGTTCATACTACTGAGCAGTGCAAATGTAGAACAATTACTTGTTAGTTTGCAGTGATTTATCATCTCGATATCAATTTTCGACCAAATACTATTTTCAAGTTAAATAGCTGAATCCGCGGGTTCAATACAGGTTTTTTTAAAATCTAACTTATTAACTACCCCTATAGACACACTATTTAAAAACAATTAATGAGTCATCAAAAGCATAGTAGATTAAATTTCAACAGGCGTATGTAAATATTTAAGTACAGTTCATACTTCCCAGCTTTCCGTTAATGTTACTTTACTTCTAATTAATTTTTGCGTTTTGTTTCATTTTACATCCCATGTTACATTTGTCAGTTTTAAAAAATGTATCAAAATTACTCAAATAAATACTGGGTTCCAAATTAAAACTATTTTTTTACTTATTTCAGTTTGGACGGTTGAATAGTATCACTGACTTTTCGTACTAGCGTGTCTGAAGGCAGCTAACGCGACTCTATACTAATGATTCTTAGGTTGAGCATTAAATTTTACATCTAGAATTAAAAGAAAGCCTTCTTTGCTAATTAGTCAGTCATTTACGACGTAAGAACAGGCACTTATATGCATCGGTCAGAGTTGCCATATCTCATTAGCCCAACAAAATGAACACCAAATTCATAGAATTAATTACTTCAATAATAGTAAAAGAAAGATTGCATATAAGGATATAATACAAGAAGAAATAGTTCGTAGAAAGAAAGGTATAAGACAATTTTAATCTCATAGTTTAAGGGAAGACAATGAGTATATACAGCTACACCCATGTGATCGATTGTGAACCATATCACACAGTTTTCAACCATTGGTTACAATAGTCACACGGACCCCAACCAAGTAGTCTGTATCTACCAACATGACTCAGACCAAAAGTCAGTGACTTTGTGGACTGATGCTGCGTTTTGGTTTGGTTGCTCCTAACTTTCTTCCATTTGTCTCCAATACTAGTCAGGATTGCTGATTAATTTCTTGTTTATTTTATTATGAATTCATGTGCAGCAATATGTGTTAATTTTTTGTAATCTATATCTATAAAAGTTATGGACAGTAGGAAAAATGTAACACTTCTAATACATCGTGTTTTTTACGCTTTATAGGCCAGGTCATACACCTATTACGGTTTCACAAGTTATATGTAACACTTGGAAGCAAGATGGATTACGTGGTTTTTACCGGGGTGTAAGTGCATCGTATTTTGGTTCTCTAGAAACAGCTTTAAACTTCGTTGTATATGAAAATTTTAAATCAGAACTGCTTTGGAGAGAGCATAAACGTAAACGTCAATTAACTCTTAATAGTTCTGTTCCAATATCGGAACAATCTGTTTACAGTAGTGATAACAATTATCTGCCTCAAAAAGCATCGGATTTTCGTGGTTCAAGTGGCGGAAGTAAATTATCTGCTTCAAAAGATATGATCTTGTGTATGATTGCTAGTGCTTGTTCTAAAGCAATCGCTATTACTGCTCTATATCCTCATGGTAAGTACGTGAGAGGTCATTGTAGTAGCATGAATATTAGTAATTTTTATTTATGTACTTAATCTTCCACTGATTAATTAATTAACTTACTCATCAGGTACTTTGTTACGAGCCACACTCAAATTTGAGTGTTAATGTTGACAGGACATAGATTAAATTAAAGCATATTCCATGAAAAATTCTGTTGGACCACTCTGATTGGTCTGTTTATAGTCAATGAGCTTTGGTGTATAGATAGAGAGGACTCTAGAATTTTCCTATATATAAATATATATATATATATATATATATATATATATCAGCTTCCGATTAACCTATTAACTACTGTTGTATTATTAACTATTCTTAGTCTGCTGGCAGTTTATTATTCATAGTCTCCCCTACTTTCAACCACATTTTGACTTGATCATGTATAATTGCTACGGTGTGATGTGGTCTGGTCTGCTTGTATATCAACTACGTTTGTCTAAAATACATTATTAGTGGAATCTGGTTACTAATTTCTGGACTCAAGGGTAGGACATAGAGGAGGTTAGAAGATCGCGACCTAATAAGAATTCGGATATCAATCCAAAGTTTTTAATGTTGAACGGATTCTGAAGTGGGGTTCAAATCTGAAACTTAGTGACTGAAAGTCACTTGAGTGCCTTAACCACTGACTCATCGCTCCACCACCACAACTATTAATAGATAGAGGTTCAAACTCAGACAAATGAATTCGATAGAAGTAACTGAGTGGACCAGTGCATTTAACTTGCATTGATTATTATTAGCATAAATAAAAAGCCCTAGAGTACATTGACGTACACTTGTTGACTTAATTATATTAGTTCCTAATTGCATATTCTATCAAATTGTGTTATGGCTTTATCATGTCCAGGTAATTATAAATGAATGTAATCGTTGGTTAGTTTTAACAAGAACTTAAATTTAAAACAATAATTTAAACAAATATTAAATCTATTTTGTCACATAACTTAATTCCAAGAATGTTTTACTTCGAAATTCATTTTATGTCCTTTTTTTTGCTGCCTTGATTATCAGTAATACAGAAAATGACCTTAGGAAAAACACCAATACATATTGTTTCATAGCAGACCACTAAAGATCAATAAAAGTAAATCAATGCTTGTGTACACTTGATTTCCAGGCATTACTTAGAATATAAGAACGGAAGATCACTACCCGGATGATGATAGACAAGTAGATGAAATGGTCTTAAGCTTAAATTTACAAAGTCATTCGGTCTATTTTTTGTTCGTATCACATGATTAACCTGGGTGTGTATTAACGGTCTAGGTCACTAAACATCGTTGTAACAACCATGATTGGCTCAATCAATAGCTTAACAGTGGCGAATATAGAAACTTCCACAATCTAGTCCATGTTTGTAAATTTTGAGACATTGTGAATAGGTGACCTAGACCTATTTCACAAGGCCAATTTTAGTCATGTGATAGGTTGGGTAAAATAAAGACAATCGTCTAGTGAAATCTAAAAGAAATTGATGTGATGTAACAACATCCTGGAAGCAGTCAATATGAAATATAGTCGAGAAAAAATGTACAATAAATAAAATTTGGTGAGTTTTCTGTCAACTTTGTTACATAGTTTCGAAGCATTTTGCTTCAAGAACCCCCGTCCAGTGTACTTTGAATATGAAGAATAATTATTCCATTTTATTTTCATATGAAGGTACAATTAGGTTTATATATGGGATTACTGTTAATGACTTTGATAAAGGAAGATAAACAGTTTGTTTTATTTTGATATTATACTATCCTACAAACTTGGGAATCAAAAAAAGCTTGTTTACATAATTTTCCATCTTTACTGTTAAATAGAAGTAGCCCGAACTCGTTTACGTGAAGAAACTGGACAATATCGAGGATTTTTTCGTACACTTCATTTAGTTGGCAAAGAGGAAGGTTTAAGTGGACTTTACCGTGGTATGGCAACTCATTATATTCGTCAAGTACCTAATTCTTGTATTATGATTGGAACTTATGAATTCGTTGTCTTTCTGCTACAATCTTGGGATTTAACTAAAGACACCAAGGTATAGTAGTGTATTGCCTTCATTCTTCGACTAATTAAAATCTTATTTTCTTTCTCCTTTCTCCATTTGTACAAAAAATCATTATTAGAATGAAAAATAAATGTGTATAATTTGGTTTTACTCCTTATAATCATGTTACTTCCCATTAAAAACAAAATAACAGAACTTATAACCTCAAAAAGAATATAAGCGATAAACAGAGTTATTCAATACTTTTCTTCCATTCAAGTTTACTTCTTGTTTAATTATTATTATTATTATCATTATTTGTATACTGTATTGTGTCAAATCGTGATAGTCAATTGTGAAGTTTGATTCTCTATGGGCGAGTATTTCATTTCTTTTGTACTTGTTTGTTTGTCTACTCCCTCGCCTTTCATTGCTTCTTTTTATCACTTGCTTCCACTGCTAAACGTTATATTTATTGAAGAATAGTTTTTTAAAATGTACACAGTATGCATTAATACATCGGCAAAAATGTAAACATATTGAGGCGTGTATACGTTGTGTTGTAAATTTTTATCTTTATCATCACCACTTACTTCCTCCCTTTTGTCTCTCTCGCCCCCTAACATTACCATCATTTATCTCTTAGTTGTGTTATTAATCATCTATTTTCTTTCAGTTTATGGTATTGTATACTACTGATCATTATTATTAGTTTCTTCTCTTCCTTTTCCCCTAATTATTGTATACATGCATTTTCATTAAGTTTTGTAATAAAGTTTGATCAGGAAAATAATCATTATAGATGACAATCGTTGTCTCCTTTTTTTTGGTGTTGAATGTAGTGTTGTAAAACTGAAAAAGAAGTAGATTTGTGGCCCAATGCAAAGTACAAGCCGAATTTTGACAGACAATAAATTTATTACACATCAAAAATGAATCAAAAACTATGCCTGAATACACTATTCTTGAGATGTATCCTATATACACTGATCAATAATTAGATCTTAATAAATTGAACTGGGTAGTACTACATATTACTTAATCACTAACTTACTGCATAAATACAGCTTGAGATTTCATTATTTTAGATCAAATTGTCGTAACGAACAAATGTTGATAATTTACTGGATTATTCGATTACTCCTTTCTAAGAGAACCTTGTATTGTTAACTACTCTGACTAATTCTAATTGTGTTCTACATGAAGTAAGCGCCAATCACGTCCAGAACGACAATGACAGTTTCCAGTTAAGCCACCCAGCTCTTAGAACACATGCAAATCTCCATCGGTTCAAGTTATAATGTTCACTCCATTTTGCTCGATAACGTATTTCCATTTTGCAGACTAATTGTTCAGACTAACAAAAGTCGAGTGTGAGACGATCCCGATGAGAGGAAAAACTTAAGTAGCATTTCATCTGGCCTTTAGCTACTCTACAACTACCACCCACCATTACCAAACAGCCTGATTTGAATATTGAAGTAGGTACCCCGATTCTAGCTGAAGTCCAAAAAAAGCTATAGTTAATCTGGTCTAGATGGATTGGCCCCAGAGGTCTTTAAGGATGGTGGTCTAGTTTTAGCGATTAGGTTGACTAACATTTTAGCTAAAATCTGGGAGTTAGACGTTATCCCATCTTTTTGGTCACAATCACTTATCGTCCCAATATATAAGAAGGGGTCAAAATCATCCTGTGGCAACCATAGAGGGATTAGTTTAACTAATATAGTATCTAATTTTTCTACTCATCGGGATATTACAAATATATTATTTGTTTATTTATAACAATCTACCCAATGCTCAATTTATTCGAAATTATCAAATCAAACCTTGGTGATGGTACCTAAAAAGTATTTTATTGTTTGCAATTGCCAAGTACTTGCGCTTAATGGGTTTTTGTACGTTAAGATCTAGTGAATTATCTGTCTACAATCATGGTATACGGTCAACATGGAATCTAATCATTGTATTACTAGACATCAGTTTGTCTCAAGACAAAAATGCGATTATATTGAACACTAGTTCTCTCTGCTTTACTTTATGCCTGTGAAGTGTGATTTTTGGATATAGATGACATTTGTAGGTTACTACTGCTTGATTATACCTGTCTTAAAAGCTATTGCTCGTGCATCTTGGAGCAATCGCTTGAGCAACGTTAAAGTTAGGCATTGGGCACTAAGGAAAGTTTAGTAAATTTGTGAATTTTTTTAGACTGAGGTGATTGGAAAACGCCTGGCGTAGTCCCAACTTCACCCTATCTCAGTGTGTAATTCTGAGTGGAGTAGAAGTGATCTGAAATAAAGCTTTATGCGGCCAAACTAAGATGTTGCATCAGTTCATGAATTCATTGGCCGTTGGCACATGCAGTCTACTTCGTTGGCATTCCACCATCAGTGGTTGGAGATTTCGGATGACATGGTTAAGATGTATTCAGTTTTTTATTTTCTCCTGGATATCTTTTTAATCTTTTTTCTCACAATATGTCTTCAATATTTACCACCAGGTTAGTTTTCCTAAGTTTACTGTCATTTAATCGTACTTTTCTTCCATATTCACAACAATATATGTAGATTATTAATATTTGTTATGAGGAGCTAAATATATAACTTTATTACTCATCACAAGTTCATGTACTACTCGATTTAGATCTGAAATTCGGATGAGGAACTGGTTCCATATATGAAAATAAGTTTCAAAGTTTCAGCTGACTGATTGATAGTGAAATACTCCACCACTTTAATCTCATTAATAAAATCAAATGAATTGTTATCGAATATTTATTTAATGTTAAACAATAGATAATTTAGAAGGGGGTTTGTGGATATTATAGTAATTTTAATGGTCGAGATCATGGTCACTTGATGCTAGACCACCATGGAAGACCCGGAAGCATCGGACTGCCGTTTCGTCCTAGTATGGGACTTCTCAGCAGTGCGCATCCACGATCCCGACTCACGAGATTCGAACACAGGACCTATCAGTCTCACGCGCAAACACTTTACCTCTAGACCACTGAGCCGACCGGTATCCAACGGTATGAATAAGTAACTTCAACTAATCCACGAAATTGAGCGACACATCCACCAGTTCCTTCAGTGAGTTACTATCTCATAACAGACCCGATTAAACTCCACTGGTCACTGCTTCCCTCTTGAAGCCAGCCACTAGTAAGCATATGTTGATGAATATCAGAAGGGTTTTTGTGGATATTATAGTAATTTCAGTAGTTGAGATCATGGGTTCGAATCTCGCGGGACGGGGTCGTGGGTGCACACTGCCGAAGAGTCCCGCAATAGGACGAAACGGCCGTCCAGTGCATCCAAGTATTCCATGGTGGTCTAGCTTCAATTGATTCATGATCTCGACTATTGAAATAAATGATTCAACTGATTAGACATAATTTTGTTAAGAGGTTTAAATCAACGAATGATTAATTACATGAGATTTGTATTATAGTTATTGAATATGATCATTAATTAGATGATATTTTGACATTCTAACAATTTTCATGTAGCTAATACTGTAAAGAGTAATATAAAGATTGTATAATTTGTAGATGTTTTGTTTACCTAAATGATAATTAAAGCTACGAAATGTAGCGAAAATTATGTCATTGAAAAATGTATCATTCTGTCTGTCTGTCTATCTCTCTCTCTTTCAAAAGTTTTCTTATTATATTAGTTATTAAGAAATGTTATTATTTTTATAGGTCACATTTGAACTCTTACATTAACTCGAAAATACTCTTTTGATTTATTTTAATTATTTTACTGTATCTTTTGATTTAAGTAACTTAGTCAGAACTATTGTACATCGTCTTTCATATTAATATGTTCGGATATCTAATCCATACTCATTGAAATAAGAAATCTGATGAAAATCTACGTTTTATATTCTCTTTGAGTTTTACCATTAAAATGTACTTATGTTGTAGAAAATATGTGTTTTCTTAAATTGTCCAACTCTAAAATGTTACATCTCGCTATTTGTTCGGTTCGGTTTTCGATACTTGTTAATTACGAGCGGTCGAGATTATTGTTATACAAACGGAATCTAGGTAGCGATGAACATATATGACTCTTCAACAATAATCCTTAATTAAAGAACGCAAAAAGAAGGCAATAGTGCAGAAAAACTTATTATTTACGACTACATTATTATGGAATAAAGACTACTGAGTTATCTTTTTACCTTTCTTATTCTTTATAAACAATTGTGACCTTCCATACATATACCTCTTTTATTCATAACATTGCAAATTAAATTCATGAGCATTTCTATCAATAATTGGCTTAGATGCATATCAGTTATCTACTCTCTAATTGTCTAATTATAATTTAGACATTTTTCGCCTTATATTAAGATCAACTGTGTGCTCACTAATCTTGATTAAATGCTAGTATCCATATTCACCACTATTTGGTCGTTCATCTACTCTTCATAATCATGTATTAAATATGCACATCTGAACTATAACTTGTATTTGACTTTTAATTTCTACGTTATGTTAACGTGATTAATGGATAGAATGTTTACGAAGTTAAAGATACATATTTGACTAACATCATACAGTTGTGAGATGGTGGAGAAGATTTGTAGCTCAGGTGGATGATTTTGATGGAGTTTTGTGGAAATCGTGGACAGAGGAAATTCTAAAAACACAAGAGAATTTTTAGAAGCCTGGCACTCAGGTCAATCAGCAATCAACAAACCTATTGAAATCGATCCGATTTATCAACCAATCAGGAAACTTATGCACAAATATAGGAACAAGAATCAAACCAATAGGAGACAAAACCAAGACAAAAAAGTAAACAATGACAAATTTAAGGTCAAAAAGAACCAATCAACATCGAGGTGCACAGAACAAGCTGTGAAACGCATATGGAGAAATTCGAACACTTCACTTCTATCTGAAGTTTGTGCTGATGATGTCGTTCAGAAGAACGATGAAAGCTCCACGACCAAACCATCCAGCTCAGAGAACAAAACTCCATCAAAATCATACAGTTGTCGTTGTCACTTAACTGGAGTCCATAAGTCGTATTACACTATCCTTAAGCGAATGTTTCAATATTATCTACTATTACAAGTTAATCGTATGCTTAGTTAGTGGCTCTGATAGCTACTATCGGAAAATATGGTCTAATATAAAATATTTTCCTGTATTGTATTTTGGTAAAGCATATTTTCGATAAGCTGAGATAATAACTCAATTCAGATCAAAGCAAAATAAGTGAGAAATGCTGGCAGGTTCATGCTATTAATCAAAATTTGCTTTAACTTTTTAGGGAAACAAATATACGATGTTGATTGAAAAATTATCTTAATTTTCTGAGAGAGACAGGTACATATTTATGAATGGGTTTTCTACGTATTGTTTGATTCGGTTAGCATATACAATGTCCTACTCACTCTTGATTTTCTCATATCCTCTGATTGGTCTCAGATATACGAAGCATTTAAATCATTGTCGGACTCAGAAAATCGCTCAACACAATTTTGTCAATTTCAAACAAATTAATTACAGTATCTTTATATATATGTTAAATATCTTAATTTGGCTATAAAAGGATATTCTAGCAATTAAAATCGATGGTTTTATAGTCAATGTATTTAATTTCCAACCATTAGGTGGCAACTCTTAACTCCGCGTCATTTCTTATGATCCGGGTAACTAGGTTTTATTGGAATAGACTGTTAATAAAATATGTAACTCAAATTGAAGTACTCAGCTGTCTGGTTCATTACTGAATTGAAAAACCGGCGAGACTATAATTTATGGACAAACCAATCACGTATAAGATAACAGGTCTCGGATTTCGGCGCGAAATTTATTTATCCATTTGACTAAATAGAATTTTGACATTATAGCTGATGTCAGTTCGTGATGAAAACCATAAATCTAACTTCTAACCTTGATCATCAACTGTAAATCATGAGTCTAACTCCTCACACAGGTTTATAACAATTATTTGGTCCTAGTTATTAGGTGGACACTCTCAAGATCAGTTTGGAGTCGCTCAAAGGTCGTCCATAAATTAGAATCTCATGGAAAAACCTTCTGCTTAAATTTTAAACTAATTTGATAAAACATTGTTTTAAATTTCTTTACCAATCTTAAAATATATTCATGAATATATTTTTAACAGATATGTGGAAAATAGCTTGTAATACGTTTGATAGGGTTTCGATCAACCGATAACATATCAATCCAATGTTGAGTTGTTCTCTCAGTCACAACACTTTGATCGAAGTTCTCAGATTGTTTATCGCTATCAACTTCATCATGATTGTTTGTATCTTCCTTTAGCAGAGTGTCTGGAAGTTTTTGATTCTGTGATTCATTTTGACATGGCATGGAATTGCTTATTGGGATTGTCTCAGTTTCCTATAACAGAAAGGGAGTGTTTCAATTAGGATTTTGACTTCAGTTCATTGGTCGTACACGTTGGCTTTAAATTATTTTCTCACATATAAATTATGTAAAAAAAACTATAATATTTAAAAGCACTGATGCATATCAGAAATGATACAGTAACCGGTACTAATGAGTTTAAACCTGTTAGGAGAGGTGTCAGTTATGTGACTTCGTAACTAATGCTTCTTTAGTCGCAAAGTTCTAGCCTTGTAATGTTTTAGTAAATCGCTATCAAACAGTAAACCGATTGGTTCATCATAAGATAACAACATATGATCAAAATTAAATTCAAATAATCCAAAACAATATAAAAACACAAAAACTGTCTAGAAATTTCAGTAGTAATGGGACAAAGTAAAATTTAGCTGAGAATTCTTTTCCTACAATGAAATTGTTTTTAAGTTATTACTTGGAACAGTCAGCTATACTATGTTTGGTAACGTCTATATGGGAATAACAACTCACATGGCTCATAAAAATGTAAGTTACATTGATCGTACTCCCAGTGTTTTTCTTAAAATCTCTAACTGCATCTCGGAATACTTACCTTCATGGTTAAAGATAAACATCTTACAGCGCGATTTTTAAGATAACTTGATTGTTTCTAGTCATTTGGAAATCCAGGAAGTAAATTCATTTTATTTGTGCAGTTTATTCAAACATCGTACAAAGTGTGGATCTGAAAGGTTACTAAGACTGAAAAAACAATCACTATCCATATTTTATACCTGAAAATTTGTATTCAAAGTGAATTTTATAATTCTACTGAACTGGTCTTTCTCATTTTATACTCTTATTTATTTCGCTTTATGTTCACATTGATTTAATTCATTCATTGTCAGTAATGGGTTGTGGTGAATGTTGAATTTCATTGAAATCGTTAACCAACCTACGTTGAAGTTAGAAATTAAGAACGTTGGGTTCCGACTCAGTAGTCTAGAGGTTCAGTGTTCGCGAGCGGGTTCGTGGGTTCACATTGATGAGGGATCTTACGCTGGGACGAAACGCCCGTCTAGCGTCTTCAGTTTTCTAGTGGTGGTCTAACTTGGATCGGTTCATGGCATAACAATCTGCACAGGAAGGCTTGAGTCAGTAACAACACATGTGAATCACTAAAGAAAATGAACAACTGCGACTAAAAAAATGATAAAACAAATATTGAACTACATGACTGAATAATCAGCGATAACATCATTCTAGAGTACAGTATGGTTGATGGAATATGCACCGTAATAGTCGTACATCTTTTGGGCATATAGTTGTCTTTAATAAGCAGTGAATGAAAGAAATACCATGAGAAGCTGTTTTATGTAATGTGTTCTAGATAACTTAGTCGAAAATATTATTGTTTCAGTAAATGGTTTTATGAATAATAACTAAATTTGTGCTGATCCTAAGTTCAATTTGTAAGTGGATGGTCAGATAGCATTCTCTTCTTAAAACATTTGGAATATTAATCAATCGAAAATATCTGGAAACATTCAAACTATGTCATTATTACTTTCTAGATTCAAATAAAATAGATTTATCCGTGTTATAATTTGGGATAAGGTAAATCACCTGACTACAGATACTCTTGTTTGATAATTTTCTTAAGAATCACACATCGATGACTACAAGTGGTACTGATACAAATATATACCCAAGGATGAAGTTATTTTTGTATGGTTCATAAGATATATGTCTGTTTTCTCTTACTAGCTACCCCGCGTAGGTTGTTTGAATGCATTAATTTAGTATACAGAATTCGTATGTTATATGGTTGGAAGTATTCGATAGGTAGACATCATCCTATTGATTCGTGTTAGCTGACACTGGTGAAGCATTTTTGCAAGCTTTAGGGAAGCGATACTTCCTATCACTTCAGATTTAATTCAACGGGCTTCACAATCTAAGATGTTATAACTGAGCTGTATGAGCCTAATTGAGATATTTATAATTGAATAATCAATGAGTAGTGATCACTGTCATATTTGTTTAGTCCTTTAATGTTGATCAAATTATATCAATCAAGAATTTATCGAAAATCAGTAGTCGAAGCATTCAGATAAATGGTGTATTTATAATAGTGAGTTGGAAGTTAAAAGTAGGCATACTATCTTGGTAAAGTCAGTTTCTGCTATACACTTCTGTAGTCATCCTTATCGGACATATTTAATAAGACATTTAAAGAGGGAGTACATATGCTGCTTTTGATTCCGTAGTAAGACTGAATGTTTGATGAATGCTATTATATCTATTGAATATGTTTTGAATCCAATCTTTGGATTTTCAATCTCAAAAAAAAACGTCATTCATTTAAAGAAAGTAACATTCTAAGTTGTAGATATAACTTTCTAAAAGATTGTTATGTAATTTTGTCAATAAGAAATAAGATAAAATTGAGTTTACTTGTCTGATCCAATAGAAACGTCATATTATCTGTACAAATGCCCACTAAACAGTAATTAGATATTCATTGTTAATCATTAAGTTGACCATTTCATAAATAAAACAAAAATTCTAGTCATTTATTTTGACCAAACTATTTAATGTTAACACTTGTTATAAACCAGCGATTGATTCGACGTACAATTGAAATAAACTGAACTAACTAAAATGACAATCTAATTGATAGAATGGATCTATCAACAATAACTGATGAAATTTTCATTCTTTTTAAAAAGTTAAATTGACTAATTATCGGACTGAATAAATAAAAAAGAAACTTTTATGGAAAGTCTTTCAGCGAAATAATAGGATCATAAGTTATTTAACAATTAAGAAATCAATAAACATTTATTGAAATTTGAGTCATATAACAGCCAGACACTTAAACGTCCAATGTTAATACAATGAGAAGCATTGTCTATTGATTAGTTCTTTAATGGGTTCCGGTAAACAGATCTGAAGTTAGGAAATAATATTGTATAAAAGCTTAAATTTGATATGTGATTTTCCTGGTAATTATTGTTTTTTAATAGTTGAATTCATGAGTCAATTGAAGCTAGACCATCATGAAAAACTTGGAAGCACTGAATGGCCATATCATCCTATTGTGGGACTCCTCAGCAGTGTGTATCCACGATCCGTACTCGCGAGGTTCGAACACAGGACCTATCAGTCTCACGCGTGAACGCTTAACCTCTAGACCACTAAGCCAGCCGGCTTCCAATGGTGTTAATGTCTAAACTCAACTAATCCACGAAATTGAGCAACACATCCATCATTGTCTTCAGTGACGTACTATCCCACAACAGACCTGATTGAACTCCACTGGTCACTGCTTCTCACTAGAATTCCAAGAAATACTTCTTGGAGACCGTCACTAGTGAATATATGATGATTATAATTTGTTATAAGATGAGCAAATTATCATAGATCTGTAGTTCTATCTGTTGGGGAGTTCCGGAAATTTCCTCGAAAAAAGCCAAAAAGGCTCTGAAAACACTGAGAAGCATCTGATCCAACTAACTTTCACTAGAAGTTTTTGCCAGAAACATCTGGAAAGTGAAAAGTCACATGCCGAGTTTCTGATTGGATGATTACCCATACTGCTACTATGTTTAGTAGCGTTCTAGAATTTTTCGGAAACCCAGTGCCATCTGAAATACTATAAAAACCCTAGATTTTCTGAACATAAATGAGCCTTAGTGTAAAACGTTCCTTCCATATGTCGTGCCTTTTCTTTCATGTTCAAATCGCTGTGTAGATTCAGCCTGGGGGTTACTAGAAGAGCTTATGAACAGAATTAGCGTTCAATTAGAAGACTTATCACTATCTTGTCAATGGAAAATGATAGCTTAATTGTTTAATGTCACATTGAACTAAGACAAAATTTCAAAATATTCAAGTTCATTAAATATATCAATGTTTATTGTCATATAAATTGAATTTAACCCAGACTAGATGAAATCAGTAGTTTACCCAGGTCATGTTCAATCACATGTCGATTATGAATAAAAAAATCACAAGAGCTGTTTGGCTTAAGTATATAAGTATACAAAAACAGGCAACGGTCAGTTATCACAGTCAAGGTAGTCACTGTAACTAATTGAAAAGTCATAAAAAGGATTTTAGTAGTATTAGTATATAGCCTTGTTTTTAATTCACTTCTTTAAATTTGTTTGTTATGATTAAGGTAAGGTTAATGTATCGAGACAGGAATAAATGTTATTGATCGAATAAGTAGATGTACACTTTTATTTTACATAAAATAACAAATGCCTATCTAACATCACCGACTTAACTGTCGTTTCTAAATGATCATTCATACAAAGCTTTATAGCTGAAATTTATCTCTGCAAATTAACGCTACTAGAATTCATTGGTTATCTTTTGATATAAGTTGATATACTTATAAAAATATTATTTAATCAATACGATACAACCAAAAGTCATCAACAAAACTAACTTTTGACAATAGGCATATAAAATTCTTACATCAAGGTTCTATTGGTCACTTTTTAAATGCTAAGCTTTCTTCTTATATTTTGAATTAATCATTTAGTTTTCAATTATAAAGTATAATGGTGGATGTGTCGCTCAATTTCGTGGATTAGTTGAACTTAGACACTAACACCATTGGAAGCCGGCTGGCTTAGTGGTCTAGAGGTTAAGCGTTCACGCGCGAGACTGGTAGGTCCTGTGTTCAAATCTCGTGAGTTGGGATCGTAGATGCATACTGCTGAGAAGTCCCATACTAGGAGGAAATGACCGTCCATTGCTTCCAAGTTTTTCATGATGGTCTAGCTCCAATTGACTCATGGTCTCAACCATTGAAACTTAATTATATATATAATTTACAATAATGACATAATACTCATCGAGTAGATACGTTACGTAATAATTATATAATGACATCGATTATAAACTAACATTGAGTAATTGGAAGAAAGAGGATTATAATAATTAATAATTAAAGCAGTTGCTACGTTGTATAGTATATAAAAAAAGAAACTAACAAAATATTTTAATGAATGATCAGTAGT